GATATGTGAGGTTTAACGTCTCAAAACCACTATTTGATTATGAGAGATGCTGTAGTGGAGGGCTCCGAAAATTTTGACCACCTGGGGTTCTTTAACGTGCACCCAAATCTAACACAGGCCTACAACATTTCCGCCTCCATCGGAAATGCAGCCGCCACAGCCGGGATTCTTTTGTAAAACGAAAGCTCGGGGGCTATTAACAGAGCACGTGGGATAGACACACATACGATAAACTTTATGCTATTAAGCCGCAACTTGGTAATTGGCCGCCACTATCAAAATCACGACGCACAGAAGTAACACTCACAAGGCTAAGGATAGGACACACACACTCGACACATTCATATCTTTTGTCTGCTAGTGATCCACCATTGTGTGAAAGATGTGGAGAACGAGTTACGGTTCTCCACATCCTCGTCCAGTGCAATGCATTAGATGCTCTAAGAAAAAACACTTTTTACTGCCCTACTGATAGCAGCTCCCACTGCACCCTGTGACGCTCATCGGTAGGGATCGCTTTTAAATTTCAATCACTTCGCAGGTTTCTAAAAGGTGTCCATAGTTTTCATCACTACGAGGTGATTCGTAGCTCGACCTCTGTACATATGTCGCGGCTGCAACGGCCCAGTTCACCAACATTGTAATTTTTGTCACCTTCACGCATTTCACGTCACTGCCATGTATTTTAATATTTTTTAGTTCTAACCTGCCTCAGGGCGGGAATTTTAGGCCTTTAAAGCCACGTAACACTGTCATTGTTGTTCATATTCTGTTCACATTACTTCAATAATGTACCATTGCTTTTCGCTCATCATTGTTTCATGGTGCTCTTTGGCCATCACATGGCCCTTGCACCAATAAACACCATATATTATCATCATAATCATCATCATTTACATATTTAATCCTAGTGCCAACTCAGTTAGGCCGCATGTCAAAGAGCTTAATCCAAGTGTCACCATGTTGAATGCAATTGCCAACGGCTTCAATTCAGGTGCCAGTCAGTTTAATCCATGTTCAAGAAACACATGGTTTGTCACTTTATACAGTCTAACCCCCGTATTCTAGAACGCCCCTTCACTCAACGCTCCACCTTCACCTGAGAAAGCCGATGGGAGCGCCATCTATAAGCAGGGCAAGTCACTGCATATCAGTGATAATTTGCTGCTATTCTTGAGTAGCGCAGCGCCATTTTCAGCCGAGCAGCGGCGCAGTGCTCAACTCTGATTGATTTGTGGGGTTTAACGTCCCAAAACCACGATATGATTAGGAGAAACGCCGTAGTGGAGGGCTCCGGAAATTTTGACCACCTGGGGTTCTTTAACGTGCACCCAAATCTGAGCACATGGGCCTACAACATTTCCGCCTCCATCGGAAATGCAGCCGCCGCAGCCGGGATTCGAACCCGCGCCCTGCGGGTCAGCAGCCGAGTACCTTAGCCACTAGACCACCGCGGCGGGGCCAGTGCTCATCAACTCTGTCAAGTGAAGGGTGAAAGTCGAGTCGAGAAGCGTTTGTGAAGACGGGGGTAAATTTCGGAATAATGTAAAATTGGAGTGAAGCTGGTGACGCAGAGGCCCATAGACTGCAACCGTTATGTCGTCAAGCACAGCCGCATGCTGTACGTTCAATGGCTTTAGTCTGATAGGCCGCGTGTTTGCCACTTTTGCTTGGACGAGGCAAACTACAATATCTGGTGTTTCAGGAATTTCGTCAGGACAGCTGTGCTGATGACGGCAACGACAAAGGGAACGAGCTTGAACATTATTGCATGCATGTCCGCAAAAGGAGTTATTCACTGAACTGCGGTGGACAGAATTCATTGGGTTTTTTTCAGTGATTTCTTCAGCGATGTTTCCGCCCGTGTAACGTGATGAACCAAACACAGAAGCTGTACTCATTTTTGATAACGCACCTACTCATGCTCGAGCAAAGCAGGCGGCTTTGGCTAACTCCCTGCACTCTATCAAGCGCCTGCCAGCGTACAGACACCTTTTTAACCCCATAAAAGAAGCCTTCTCTAGATCAAATCACACGTGAAGGCCTGCCTGAGTGAACGCCGTGATTTAGAATTAGTGACACCGCAAGTCATGGTGAAAAAGGAGCACATGCGTTTTTTTGCTGCTGCATGTGGCTCGGCGCTCTATGCACCAAATACAACGCGTGGACTGTGCGGCATTTGACCGTGACAATTTCTCTTTCGTGCCTGCAGCATTGTGTAAAGATGACTTGTGAACGGCCATCTCCGAGCACTAAGAGACAATCCTTTTTTATTAAATATACATACTCTCGCTTGTACCTATGTTGCATTTCTCTACTAGTTTAAAGTAAGCAGTATTAGTTCTTAGTGTGTGTGTGTGTGCACGTGTGTGTGTGTGTGTGTCTGTGTGTGTGTGTGTGTGTGAGAGAGAGAGAGAGAGAGATATTCAAAAAGAAGTTCTGTGGGTCTGGTGCACATATAGTCAAGAAATAAACGAGCACACTTACGAAAACTGTATACTTTTGTACTCTACATTTCAATCGTTGTACGGCCAAAATGTAGAGTATAAAAGTATCCAATTTTCGTAAGTGTGCTCCTTTATTTCTTGAATATATATATATATATATATATATATATATATAAATAAATAAATAAAATAGAGAGTGAGAGAAATTATTTGTGATTCCAGTGAATCCGCAAGCTTCCATTGTGGGGTGAGAGCATAATGCGGCAAAAAAAAAAGTGCACAGAAAGAAAGAGAGCTAGGCCTAAGGACAAGTGCGCGTCTTTATCATTTCGTTTCCTTTGTGTTCGTTTCATCCCGTTGCGTCAAGTATGTTGCCAGACTACCAAGCTATATGAAAGATCAGTACTGTTTGTATCATCGGAAACACATAATTTTGTTCGAAGGAAAAGATAACAGCTAATGTGAATGTAAAATATGACTTCCGTTGTCCACATTAAAATTATGAGTTTACGTCTCATGTGCACGGCAAGACGAAAACCTCCTCGAATTATTTCCAATTCGTTCTGCCCTGTGAGGGCCTTCTAATTTCTTGAGAATGTACCTGCTTTTGACCCACCGCTGACCACGGCCAGGTTTTCCATATCTTAGTAGGCATTCCGGCACTCAAATAACCATATTCTGTCTTTTGCATTACATGACCTGGCCCGGTCATGTAATGCTGTATAAATCTAATTATTGGCTTTATTGATGAACACAAAATATCCCTTAACATGTTGCTGCTCTTTTTTTTGTTGCCATTAAAATGACTCTACCTGGGCCAAGCACTCATCTACAAACTTGTACATAGCAAAGGACAAACACAGCTCAAGCAAACAACAGAAGTGACTTTTTTCACAAATACCAGCGGCGAATAAAAAATAATAATGATTTTTCTACTTTGTGATATTTGTGTTATATATTGTAGGAACTGAATATCAATTGTACTGCCGCTTTTATGCAAAGTATTCTGCTTTTTGTGCATGGATCAAACTGACTGGCAGCTGAATTAAAGCCATTGGCAATTGGATTAAACGTGGTGGCACTTGAATTAAACTCACTGGCATGCAGCCTAATTGAGTTGGCACTTGAATTAAATATATTGGTGCTTATTAATTGTTTGACTCATGAATTAAATAGCTTGGTGATCAGATTATTTTAATGGCCTGTGGATTATTTAAGCTGGCACTTGGATTAAAGTGAGTGGGAAAACCTGTAGTTTTTCCTTCTTTTCAGTCATTCAAAACAGGAGGTATTCATTTCTATTATTGTGTCATGCTATCAAAATGGAGATTATGGTTAGTTCTTTTTTTTTCTGCTTTTATGCTAATCCCCATGCATACGTCATTAAAAGAAAAAAAAACAATCGTACAAAAAAGAATGACAGAGGTGCGTGCTGCCATTTAACCTCTAAATTGTTTATTGTGCGGGTGGAATGATCATATGAAAGCCTTCTCTCCTTTCCATTTTGTTGTTTCTGTACATTTGTGAGCTGCCTCTTTTCGCACCTGCTGTAGGGTTTTGATTCTTGTTGAAGGTGCAAGTAATCCCCTTTATTCAACAATGTCACTGCACCCTGGTAGTTTGTCTGGCAGCTCACCAAAAATTCATGTAGGGTCAAGCGTGCTTAATTGCTTATGTCATTGCACAAACTCCCTTTTCTTAATGAGAGGAGTATGTGGCATGTAATGTTGCAAGAGAACTGCAGACAAAGCCACGTTTCAAAGCAGTAGCACTCGCTGAAATAATGACAAGTCAGATGTCAAATGCCTCGTTGGATTTTATGTCAGTGGCATCATAAATTTGTTGGAAAGAACAAGCTACACTGGTGTGCAATCTTCTCCTTTGAGGGAGCTTTCAGCTAATTCCATTGGCAATAAAATGTGTCGGGCAAGTGAAATGAGGTCTTGGTACTCTGTTAAAGTTTAGTTGAGGGTAGGCATGTTTTTTGTAATCTGTATTATCTAGACGAAATTATCCAGACTTTGTGCCACTATTGCTGCTATTGCTGCACAAATCTGTTCATGCTTAAGTCTGTACAACTAAGGCGTGAAAATTAAGGTGTTGAATAGTGCTGGAGGACCCCTCCCTTCAAGAACATTTGACTAAAAAAAAAAAAAGCTTCACTGCATTGGCAGTATGTTTTTCTCTATGGCACTGTCATGAATATTGAATCTCTGTGGAAGTTATTGGCTGTCAGACCTTTCTAGAGCAGCATAATATGCATGAAACTCGGTGCATACGCAAGGGCCTTTTTATCAAATTGCATTTTACACCCATATGCGCAGGATTCACGTGTTCAATCATTGTGTAGTCGCATATAAATATGCAGTCCAAAAAAAAGAAAAGAGGTTGATCAGCCTGAAGTAATATCCTCCACGTTTTTTAAAAGAAAAAAGAAATAGTTATCATATTTAGTACCTATATCTATTCCTCTGGATTCGTTAGACATTTTTTAACTACATTGTTCTCTTAAAACAAGGAAAATTTAGATGGCCCATTTTTTTTTCTCTGCAGAAGACAGGGATTGCAGTGAGCCAGCAACTCTGGAGATGGGCAAGTCACAGCAGCAACAGCCCCATTGCTCTTCTGTTGGTGTCTCTGAAACTGAAAGACTATCTGATATGGAAGTTCTTCACAAAGTCCAAAGAGGCAAGCGGCGATTTGAATGCCACTTGTGCCCTCAAAGTTTCCAACGCAGTTTCTATCTAAGTCGGCACCTGCGCACCCACACCAGGGTACGGCCACATCGATGCCCTTCGTGTGACAAGAGCTTCTCCGAAAGGCACCAACTTATGTCACACCTGCGCAGTCATACTGGAGAACGCCCATTTCAGTGCTCCTTCTGCCCACAAAGCTTTTCGCACTCATCCAGCTTATCAGCTCACCTACGCATCCATTCAGGCCAACGACCATACAGCTGCACTGTCTGTGCTATGTCATTTGTGCAGAGTGCTCACTTGAAGTGTCACATGCAAATACACACAGGCAAGCGACCGTACAGCTGCCCTGTCTGCTCTAAGTCATTTGTTCGGAGATTTATCTTGACAGATCACATGAAAACACACACGGGTGAAGGACTGAGTTGCACTGTCTGCTCCAAGTCATTTGTGCGGGATGCTTACTTGAAGAGTCATATGCGAATACACACAGGCGAGCGACCGTACAGCTGCTCTGTCTGCTCCAAGTCGTTTATTCGGAGATCTGGCATGACAGAACACATGAAAACACACATGGGCGAAGGACTGTACAACTGCACTGTCTGCTGCAAGACATTTGTGCAGAGCACTGACTTGACGGAACACATGAAAACGCACACTGGGAGTGTACAGCTGCACTGTTTGCTACAAGTTGTTTGTGCGAGGGGCTTGCCTGATAAAACATATGAAAAAACACACAGGTGAATGACCTTTCAGTGCTACTGTCTGCTCGGAAGTCATTTTTGCGAAGCACTCACTCGGCGAGTCTTGTGAAAACACAACACTGAGGATGTTTCCTTCTTTGCATGTGTGAATTGTCATTACATTGACAGTTCATTGCTTGACGCAGCAGGTTGCACCTAGAACTCACATGTACTAGCTTTTTAGCTGGCATGTGTGCTCTAGCTGCAATGTAGCATTTTTAGCTGGCATGTGAAATCAACAGATTTGCAAACTTCATCTAATAATTTGGGCAGAGGTGTTTAAAAAAATTGGTTGCCCTACCGTGATCTTGTTCATATGGTATTCCTTCAAAATTGTGGTGTTTGTGTGATAAATACGTACCTGCCAACTTTTCCAAATTTTCTGTAAAATGTACAAATTTAGACCTCACTTATAATTTTACTCCTTTTGCCTGAAGTCTTATGGAAAATATTTTATTCCTAATAAAATGAAGCTGAAGAATATATTAAAACAGTGTGGCCTCTGCAATCAGTCTCAGTCATATCAAGGCCCAGCCAACGTTACTAGCACGTGGCGCCAAACTGTCCACGCCACCATCAGTGTGAAAAGGAGCAGCAGCGTCCCCACCAACTCTAGCGGCTGTCCAGAACGTAAAGGGCCGCCGGGAAACCAAGCGTACCCCTCCGGTCATGCAACTACATCTCTTCTAGTCACTATACTCCTATGGTAAGTGGCCAGGGCAGCAATAGATCAAAACCTATAAAGTCGTAAAAAAGGGACAAAGCATTTTGACGATCTTCGCCTACGTCTATGTTGCAGCAGACCTGGCCGCGCTGTTTTCATTTGGCCTCAATTAGCATATTGACGCACGCGTTTCGGGGCAACCGGCATCTCATGGTCCGTTCACATGATTGCCGAAAAGACATACGCGAGTTTTTCGGCAGAAATAGATGTTTCTTGCGTATCTCCCGGTTGAAAACCTGCTTGTGTAGTTTTTCTATGAAATTTTTGGTAATAAAAGTATTTACGCTCCACTGGAGATTTGTATCACCTAGTTGGGAAATCCTAGCTGCGTTGTTTATGCAGTCATTATAAGACCGCAACACCAATGTTAATGCTTACAAGGCTATTCGAGAGCCCCCCCCCCCCCCCCACCTTTTTTCAGAGATGTGAAAAAGAAAGTGCGCGAGAGGGAGAAGGTAAATAGGCATGGCCTACCACCACTCTGCCCCTTGTTTCCCAAGTTTCCCACATTCAAATTTTTTTAATTTAGCAGTTATGTGACCACAACAGAATCGCATGTTTCATTCTGTTGAAGAAAAGCTTTTGGTTTTTGCACCACGTGTGCCTGTGACATGAACACATGGTGACAAGTTCGACATCAAGGTCAACATCAGTATAAAAAAAAGCACCAGGGATACATGTGAGGCGTGGGCAACCAGCTAAGCTTGGCAAGTTTCTCGGGGACATATCTTGAAAAACACCGCAGCTTATTTAGGTCAATTAACCTTTGCTACCACTACAACTTAAAAAAAAAACAACTCTAAACAGGCGCTTTGGCTGTTAGTCTTTTTGTACCTCTTTATCATATGTGCGATGCACCCCCCTTTTCTTACTTATGCTTGTTAACAGGTGCAATAAGCTTTCAGTCATGAGTGAACGTTTCCGGTGTGCACATTTCTTTCCTGGTCCTACTTCGTTACTTTACGCCCTGTAGCCTTCATTTCAACCTGCAGTTGCAATGCCAAGGGAAGTTGGTTGAAGCGTGTGCTGCGAGCGGCGAGCAGTGGTCTAGTAAATGTATTTTATTTTACGAAATAGCACTTATTTCCATAGCACTGTTTTAATATACCAGAACAATAGAATTTACTCGTAAATAGCGTCAGAGGATGTTGATTCCTAATGCGTTTGTGAACTTAAGACAGTGCTTGCACCTTTTAGGCAACCAAGTTGTGTAATTAACTGACGCTTCTAAGCCGCTTAGCTGGTTGAACAGGGGGACAAGTGCAAATTGTAGACAGGTCATCACACCCAAACACTGAAGTTTGTGAGTGAATCATGCAGTAATATATCACACCTTGCTGAGTTCATTTGTTCGAGAAGCGCTAGCACGGTGCAAATGGAAAGTTGAAGCATGAGGTCCGCACGCTCATCACGGCAGCTGTGGCAGCGTACCAACTTTTCGCATGAGCGCATGCGCACCTGTTGGTGGCACTAGCATGCTTGAAAAAGGTCTAATTGCTGTATTACCAGGTTGGCAGGTATGTAAATATATTAGTTAATTTTTTGATGTCCATTCTCTTACTAGGGCATGTATGTATTTTCCAAGTATTCACCGGCGTGTGTGAACACTCCGGAATCAATTTACCTCTGCACTACCAAAACTGGTTGATCATTGTATTTTTATCTTGTTAACATCTTAAGTTATTTACAAGTCTTTTGTGCTGAGGTAGAATCTCTCGTAGTGTTTGAGCTACCTGTTTTGGATCCACTGCTACTGTAGTGAACACCCCTTCCCATTGTGTTGTGCTGCTTAGCTGAAGAGAGCAAGTTTGATTCGTAGTCACCGCATGAGCATACTGATGTGAGGAAAAACAGGGACACCAATGTACTTGGATTTAGATGCTGCATTAATTTGGTAACAGCTGGAAAGAATGAGGCTCCAAGATATCTGTGCAGTTGTGTTTGACGAGCAATTGTAAACGCCAATATAAGAGCCTCTAGAGTGCTCGAAAGGAGCTATTCATTTGTATCGTACGAGACTGATAATCTGCCTAACTCATTGAAATCGCACACCGGGGTCTACACAGACAAGCACAATTTGTACCATCACAGTTTATCATGGAAGTCACAGTGAAGAAAGCCCTGTATTGTATTTGGCAAATTTTTGTTTTATTAATGCAGGCCCCCATTAGCACCTATGGTTCGATTGTATTGCCTTGGCTTCAAGAGTATAAATAAATATTGTACTATATTATTAGTTGTATTATAGTGAAGAAGTTGAGTGCTACTCAGAAAGGCAGGGAGTATCACTCAGTCGGTGAAGAAGACGTTTGGTTGGCTGGGTACTCAGGCTGGCTCCGCCATTACCACTTTGATGTGTCGTGACCACTCTCCTGTTTTATAAAAGAGTGCCACTCTAAAATGCCTCATTTTAATTGGTGGAGAGTGCTGGGTAACGCATAATCCTGGAATTGCGAAACCGTACGTTGCCTCCAGTTGCTACGATGTCCACGGACGACGATCAGCAGGTGGCCGCCTCGGCTCCAACTACTGCAGCTCCTGTCTGTCTCGGCTTCTCGGCTCCTTTCGGCAACGCGATTTGCCTACCTTCAGTGGAACCGATGACAAAGACGTGGAAGACTAGCTCGACGAATACGAGTGGGTGAGCAAGCTCAACAAGTGGGACGATACGCACAAGCTTATTGTCGTCCAATTTTATTTGACCGACGTCGCCAGTCTGTGGTACTGTAATCACGAGAGAGACCTCCCCACCTGGTCGGCCTTCCGAACGGCGTTTGCGGACTTGTTTGGCCGTCCAGCGCTTTGCAAACTACGAGCCGAACAGCGCTTGCGTACTAGGGCTCAGCAGAATGGTGAGAATTACACCAGTTATATCGAAGATGTGGTCGACCTTTGCCGGCGTGTCAACTCGGCCATGACAGAAGCCGAGAAAATCAAACACATCTTGAAAGGCGTGACTGACGACGCATTTCAGATGCTTGTTGCCGAAAAGCCCGCAAACGGTAGCGGAAGTGTTCCAACTTTGTCAGAGCTATGATGAGCTCTGGAAACAGCGTGACACCACTCGTCGTGCCAGCGCGCCATGTGCAGCAATCTCGACTTTAACGTCGGCTGGCACTGCTATAGACCACACCACTTTGCTTCTCGAGATCGAGCAATTTGTACGAGAGGAGGTCGCACGCCAGTTGTCCCTCGTGCCTTATACCTCCGAAGGTGCCCCATCTACTTTAGCGCCATCAATACAGCGAGTAGTCCAGGAGCAAGTGTCTGAGGCACTACGAACAGCTCACGCACCACCTGTGGCTGCTCCATTGACCTATGCCGAAGCACTGAACGGAACCCGACGTCCGCCTGTCGCGAACGGCCACGTTTCTTTGTCGTGAACGCCTACGTCCACGCGCCCCTTTGTCGTACCGACTGAGCCTATGTACCAGGCTGCCTGTCCTTTCTCCTCGACCACCACCTTCGCGTTTTCAGAACCCTTGGCGCACTCAAGACAACCGCCCCATATGCTTCGATTGTGGAATTGTGGGTCACGTGGCGCGATTTTGTCGATGGCGTGAGTTTTTGCTGCGTGACGACGTCAGGCCCAACAATTATGATTTCCCACCATGACCTGAGCCTGCTGTATCTGTTGAGCCTGCCACCATGGACACATTTTCACCTCGCCGGAACTTCAACAGACACCGGTCGCCTTCACCTCAACGCCGTTCCCTTTCCCCTATGCTACACGACCTCGCCCTGTTCCTGAGGAAAACTAGGAGCCGCTATTCCGGGGGCAAGAACTGCGGATCTTTCGAACTCCACAAGACCTTGTTTTTCGCTGTCCAACGTCGTTGCTGTCTCCGTTGAAGGTATGCCTATTTTTGCATTGGTTGATACTGGCGCCGCAGTGTCTGTAATGACTGAAAAACTTCGCCGTCGACTAAAAAAGTCACAATACCTCTTCACGACTTCGTTTTGAGCACTGCGAGCGAGCAACGAATTCGCCCTTTTGCTGCATGCACAGCACGTGTCGTTATTGCTGACAACATTTATGTCGTCGAGTTTGTAGTGCTCCCGCAGTGTTCCCATGACATTATATTAGGCTGGGACTTTCTCTGCACTCATCATGCCGTCTGTGCTCGCGTCGAAGTGGAGTTCGCGCCGTTATGCGACGCTGCTTCACTCGACTCGTCCCTTTCACCTGCAAAAGTTTTCGTTGCCGGCGACACTTCGATACACCCGTTCTCATCCGCCCTAGTTCCGCTTTCCTGTGACGTCTCTAGTGGCTCAACTGTTTTTTTTACGCCTTCTGAAACCGCTGTTCGCCGCAAATGCTTCCTGATTCCTTTCGCCGTTTTGAATATTCACGATGGATCAAGTGCAATTTATGTTTCAAATCCGTTTCCCTCGCCTTCCAAGTTACTGTGTGGTGAGTGCCTGGGCTTTGCCGATGACATTGATCCCTCGAGTGCATGTGTAGTTCCTGACCACTCGACTACGCTACCTATTGACGCTGTTGATTGCTGCGCGTCATCCTCTTCCCCATCATTCACCGACGCAATTTCGCGCTGCATCGACACCAACCGTACGGCCCAGCTGCACACCGACATCATCGCCCTCCTCGAGCGCTTCCGCGCCAGCTTTGACCACCAGCAACTGACTTTGGGCCGTGCTTTCACAGTATCTCACTGAAATCGATACTGGCCTTCACGCTCCCTTACTTCGGCGTCCGCATCAGGTATCGGCATCTGAGCGTAGCATGAATGCTGGAACAAGTTGACGACATATTGAAGCGAGGT